ACACACACACAGAGACAGACATACGTATCGACATACACACACATGCACAAACATATACACATGCACACACACACACAGACAGACATACGTATCGACATACACGCACATGCACACACACATGCACATACACACACACAATCAGAAAACAGAAAGGCTTTGGATTTCTCATTAACAACAGTGAAAGCTAAACTGTAATCAAGTGATACTTCCCAAATCCTGAAGGAAAATGGTTTCCAATCTATAATCCAGTTCTATCTAAATGCTTAGTCAGGTGTAAAGGGACAATAAGGACATTTTCAGATGTGTAAGGGGTCACAAAACACTTAGCTCCCAGTGTTCTTTATCAGAAAGCGACTAAAGGATGTGCCCCACCAAAGCATAGAAGCGAAGGGAGAAGATGTGGAATCCGAAGGATGGGGAAGCAATGACACCTAGGATGCTGGCATGTTCTGCGTTCAAAGTGCAACCCTCTCCCAACGACAGCAAGTACAAGGCACCAAGAAAAACTTCTCTAAGAAAAGGAAACAGAAACCCCTCCCTTCTGAACGCTCTCGGCGATTTAGACAATTGGTAGAGCCTTGATGAGGAGTTAATGATATGTACAAAGAAAACTAAGCAAAAACAATTATTATATCCAGAAAAAAATAACAACAAAAATGTGCAGAAAGGAAAGCTCCTCACATTTTATTTCACAGCTTAGCCCCGGGGAGGGTACAGGGCCGTGGTGACCAAGACACCTGCTAATGGTTTGCACGCCAAGGCTGTCTCCCGTCTCTGCTCACTGAGGGAGTTTAATCCCTGAAGCTTTATGTTAATGGTGTGGAGGAAGCAGAAAGCAATCCTAGTACAGAGCCCAGAAGTGAGGCTTTGGGGAAGTGATTAGATCAGATAAAATCATTCAGGTGGGGCCCTGTGAGTGAATTCTAGCGGCTTTCAAAGGAGAGAGAGAGAGAGAGAGAGAGAGAGAGAGAGAGAGAGAGACAGCCATGGGCTCCTGCTGTGATGTGATTTAGCCAAGGGGAGGCCCCTCATTGCAGCCTGCAGTTTCCAGAAATGAACTAAATAAACTTCTTGAATTCTCAGTGAAGTAGCCTGCTTCAAGTATTTTATTTAAAAAAAAAAAATAACAAAAAGACTGACTACCCAATGCCAAATGTTCTTTTGCTTCAAATTATCCGATCACTACACTGGGAAGTCATGGGAGTGGGGTGACGCATGGGACATCTTGGGAGGGCAGAGAGCTAGACACCTACCTCCAGGAGGGTCAGAGGCTGAAAAGAGTAATCTAATGTTCTCTTTAGAGATCCTGGGGAGGGGGAAGGGGCAGGGAGATGCTGCAGATGGCCTGGCTAGGGCGTAAGCTGTCCCCCACCCTTTTTCTCAGACAGCTCGCTCTGTCTTCTCTCAGGTTTTGCCACCCATCATCCCAGGTGGACACAAAGGCACCGGGCCAGGAAACCAGAAACCCGAGTCACGCCATGCCACACTCACAGTGTTTACAGAAAGCAAGGTCATTATTTACAGGAAGAGAAACATTGAGCTAATTGACTTTTAAAGACATCAAATACAGCAGACAAACAAAGCATAAAACCCCACGTGGAAAAGGGGCGCAGTGTCCCAACCAGTAGGCGTCTTTGTCCACAGGCTTTTCCGGCTATCTCTGCTACCGGGAACCTTCTCGGGCCTCGCTCTCTAAGTCACCAGCCCGCTTTTTCCATGATGAAAACCAATTAAGAAAACAAAGCTTCATTCTTCTCACACCATCCAAGTCCCCTAACCAAGTTAAACCAATCCCTAAAGTTCCCTGTCCCCCATCCCCACCTCCCTTGCCCCCCACCTTCTCCAAGCCTGTCCCAGAAAAGGTCCTGGGTAGTGTGAGTAACAAGGCTCTGATCCCTGGGCTGCAGGGTTCCTCCACTTGCCCAAGATTGGAAGATGCAGAAGGTAACAGGAGTGTAGGGGACAGGAATGTAGATTTCAGTCCAGCCTGAGGCCAGTGACATGGTGGTTGACAGCTGATGACAAAGGGGAAAAGATAAGACAAAAAGGGAGGCGATGACAGCAATAACAACTTCCACCAAGGCTCTTGTTCCTAGGGTGAGACTGTGTGTGTGTGTGTGTGTGTGTGTGTGTGTGTGTGTGTGTGTGTGTTAAATTACTTAATTTGTGGTGTATAGCTGTTGTGACACAGGATCTCCTGTAGCCCAGGCTGGCCTTGAACTCCTGATCCCCCCCCCCCCCAACTTTCAGCTCCAAGTTCTGGGATTACGGCATATGTTATCAGGTCTGGCTGAAATTAACATATTTTAAAAGTGAATTGATGGTGATTAGGGATGACATATTTTTTTTTGAATGTCCTTACTTGGGAAAATTGGAGGTTGATATCTCCAGTCCCTGCTGAAAATAGACTTCAGCTTCGGGATAAAAAGTCTGGGATACACTGTGAAGGACGATCCCGAAGAGAACAAGACTCACCCCAGAACCAGAGCTACAGACTCTGAAGAGACATCTAGTCCAGGCTCCCTTGGGTACCAAGCATATGCCAGAATACCCCTGCCAAGGGCCTCCTGGCATGATCTGTTTGGCTCATTTTGGTGGTGGGGGGCTCATTCCCTGTGCAGCCTTGGCCATTAGAATGTATCTCCTTGTGCTGTTGAAAATTTACACAGCCCTTAGGCAGCTCTACTCCTGCCCACACTTTCTCATTCCTCGACCTTCTCCATCCTTGTATTTCATACCCCTCTGGGTGCTGGTTCCGCAGCCACCTCTGCACCTGAGGGCCATGACTGCCACCATAGCATTGGTTGAATAACTACAACAATCCTCACTCAGTAGCCAGCTCCTCCTCCGAGGTCCCTGGCCTCATCTTTGAGGCAGCCTTACCCTCAGAGCACATCCTGCTCCAGACAGAGGGAAGGTGTGGCCCTCACTGCATAGTGATAGCTCTGATCACTATTCCGCCAGGATCCGAATGACGTCTGCGGAAGTCTGAGTGTTGTGGCTTGTCAGCCCACCCCTGACTCTCACAAACCGTGGACAAATTTTAATTAAAACCTTATTGTGACTGGGGAGTCCTTTCCTTGTGTATGTCTAGGCCTGGCCAAGCTGCCCTGGGGAAGGACAGGGCCTCTTCATAGCAGAACCAGTCTCAAGCCATTGTCCCTAAGGAACTGAGAAGTGTGGTGGTAGTGCCAGAGCAGCAGGGGGTTGGGAGCCAGGAGCCTCCAAGCCACCCCACCACTCCTCCCATTTTACATGGGGGGAAACTGAGGACTCACCCGCTTGTCTGTCTGTCCTGGGAATATGGAGTCTAGGATTCAGCCTTGGTAAAGTAGAGAAAGCCAGAGGGAAACAGGCAGGTGACTCCTGCAGTGTGTTCAGCCTTTGACATTGTGAAATGACATAGTCATCCAAAAACGTCATACTCAAGAACTGCACATATTCCAGAATGCCAAAGCCCAAATCAAAACAAACCAACAAATAAAAACAAAAAACAAAGCCCATACTGTTTGAGGAGAGATTAGGGTTTGGTGAGGGACTTCATTCAACGCTGTCATTGCCGCACATGTCAGGTTGCAGATTAGATATGCCTGAGGAGCTTCCTGCCTTAGGAAGGTTGGCAACACTGATGGACGGATGGACTGACAGACAAATGGATGGATGGATGGATGGATGGATGGATGGATGGATGGATAGACAGACGTACGTACGGATGGATAGAGGGATGGATGGATAGAGGGATGGATGGACGGATAGAGGGATGGATGGACGGATAGAGGGATGGGTGGATGGATGGATGGACTGACGGATGAATGAACAGACAAATGGATGGATGGATGGATGGATGGATGGATGGATGGATGGACAGAAGGACAGACAGACGGACGGACGGATGGATAGAGGGATGGATGGACGGACGGACGGACGGACAGATGGATGCATAGAGGGATGGATGGATGGATGGGTGGATGGATGGATGGATGGATGGATAAACTGACGGATGAATGAACAGACAAATGGATGGATGGATGGATGGATGGATGGATGGATGGACGGACAGACAGATGGATGGATGGACAAATGGATAGATGGATGGATGGATGGATGGATGGATGGATGGATGGATGGACAGATGGACAGACGGACAGATGGATGGATGGGTGGGCAAATGGATAGATGGATGGATGGACAAATGGATAGATGGATGGATGGATGGACAAATGAATGTATGGAGGGAGGGAGGGAGGGAAGGATGGGTGGATGGGGAATTAATGGAAGAGCTGGAGTCATAGTGTTCTCTTTAAACACCTAGAAATGGACAAAGGCAAGCTAGGGGACAGTCTCAGGCTCCCCGCCTTTCTCCTCCCAGCTTCTCATGGGAGAACCTGAGGACGCTCTCAACCTCTCTATAAGAGTTCTAGTCTTGATATAGCATGAACAAAAGACAGAGAGGACAGAAGAAGTCTGGGCAGATGCCCTGAAGAAGCCCCATGGCCCCTGGTGGTCCTGTGTGGGATTCCCCTACGTTTCTAATCTCCCCAGTTTTCGGTACAAAGGGCAGTAGAAGGAACGAGAAGGTACAGGGTCTCTGGCTCACTGAGGGGTGGAGTAAATGGTGAGCCCCCAAGGGCGGATCAGGGACTAATGGGATTAGGAGTAGGAGGCCTGTGAACGGGGCCAGTAAGATCTTCTGGGCTACCACCTTCTAACGGGGAGACCTGGGGTGACTCTCACAGCCTGGCTGGTTGTCCTCATCTGAGAGAGGGCAATGGTCAGTACACCTGTCTGGCCAGGTTTGATGTGGTGGGAGAGACAGAAATAAGTGAGAAGTATGTGAGGGCCACGTCCTGATGGGCCCCTTGCCTAGAAATCCCAGAGCCCCTGGGAATGACATTCAGATGAGACCCTTCAACACTCAGCATGGACGGACGGCCCACTCCGCGCTTGAAGGCCCGCTCCGCACTTGCCATACCTTCAGCCCCTCCCCATCCCAGACTCACCCTCAAAGCAGGAAGGGAGCTGACTTGGTCCATGGTCAGTGTGGCCTCCTTATAGTGCTTCCGTGAGGGGCAGAGCTTCAGGAAGGTCTTGTGGATACTGAGGAGAAAGGAGAGAGGCATAGTGGTCACACAGGAATGAAAGGGAGCCATGGAAGTCCCCTGCTCATGTGTGTAGGGGTGTGTCAGTAAGAAAAGGGCACTAAGTGTGGGCTGACATGGAACGGGAAATATCCCCAGTCCTCCTGTCTTCCATGTTGGAGTACACAAATGAGCTGGGAACAAGGAAAGGAGAGTCTTGGTGTAATGTTCTGTCGCGTGGGCCACATTCCACTCTGGTATGTCAGAACTGGCAGGAGTGTCTGTCATGGCTCCTTCCAGCTCCTCAGGTACAAACGGAGGTATCCAGGTCCTCTTGTGGACATCCAGACACCCTCATCCTCAGCATGTATAAAGAGGTCACTTGGTGAACACAGGAGCCAGGTTTAAAATCCATGTACCCGAAGTCAGCTGGCAAACCTGACTTCCAAGCCGGAGAGCTGGTGACAAGAGGTCCCTGCAGACTGAAAACCTGAGCAAGCAATAAGGACGAACCCTATCCTAGGCAAAGACAAGATGATCTCTTAGCCTCTCACCCCATCCTGGACTGCAGGCTCTGTTCACCAGCAAGCTCTTGGGACTACAAGGCCAGGGACTGTGGCGGCCTGTGGAGGAGAGAGTAGACAGCAGACTGGGCAAAGCTGCGGGGTCTTGGTAAACTTAATGGTTCTGAGTCTTGTCTTCATCACTGAGTTAAGAGCCATCAGGACCTCTCTTGTCGTGCAAGTTCAGTGTGCGTGAAATGAAGTGCATGAGTGTATGTGCATGTGTGTGTATGCATGCGTTTGTGTGTGTACGTGTGCATGTGTGCGCGTGCGTGTGTGTGCACGCATGTGTGTTTGCATGTGTATGTATGTGTATGTGCACGTGTGTGTGTGCATGTGTGTCTGCATGTATGTGTGTTAAGGTGTAAATATGGTTTAAAATATGGGTATTTTTTACCTGCATAGATCTACATCCCTTCCTCCTCTTTGGGTTCTCCTGCACATCTGGCATTCTGTTCTTCTGGCTGTTGTACAACTCAAAGCTTGATAACGAGGAGGAAGCCCTCTCACCTCGCTCAGGCTTTTCATTCCAGCTGCATTTTTAGTTATTATTATATCCTTAGTGCGCGCGCGCCCGCACACACACACACACACACACAAACACATGCCAGCCACTGCATGCATGTGGAAATCAGAAGACACCCCTTAGAAGCTAGTTATTCTTCTCCCTTGTGTCCCAGTGATTGACTCAGGTGTCCAGGGTTGGTGGTGACTACTTGACTTGCTAAGTCATCCCACCAGCCCTCAAGCCTCTTTTATGATCCCCTTATGCTTCAAAATTATCCTTCTCTCCGCTCCTTTTCTAGTCTGCCTTCCTCTGCTGAGTGCCAGGAGCTAGCAGTCAAATCCACATTCTGGAGCGAGTAACTCACAGCCCTCCATTGGCATCCCCACACGACACAGATGAATTTTAGTCAGTGGGGATTTAGAGACACGTGGCCAAGTGAAGAATTCGAGGGTGAGTCTATGATCAGAGAATCGGGGGTAGAGAAGGAGGCCATGACAGTGCCCAACAACAGAGAATGCTGAGCCATCGTCTGGTTCCCTTTCAGTCACTCCTCTTGTCACAGCTCATGGACTAGAAAAGTATCCTGTAAGCCATGGACACATGGAGGAAAAATAAGCCAAGATTCTGTTTTCCACAATTCTGCCTAGCATTGCACTTTGAGAGGCTGATCTCCATCTGCTGCCACTGACTCCCTGGCCTTCAACCTTCCAAATGGGCTTGGGCCCAGGGGAAACCCCAGAAGGAAGTTGGAGTCCGTGAGAGAATAGTTAGGGTCCATCTCCCCATCCTCACAACCTCAGCACAGCCGAGTTTGCCCTTCCTAGAGGCCAACTGCAGCAGTTTCCACCTGCACCTGAGCACCTCAAGCCCTGGGCAGGGGTGGTGGGTGTTCAGACACCTCCCACAGCCTCTGTAGTGCTTCTCCATGCTCCATCACCTCCCAGGATGAGATGCTACCTTCGAGATGCGGCTGAGGATGCTGCCTTTGTCTTTCTGGGATGACGACTAATGAGACAGACAAACCCATGTGAATCCTTTTCCTTCCCTACTAACTGTGGTGCCAGAGACCATAGACATGGGTTCTATGCCTGTCTGCCTTGTGCTGACTTGGGAGGGCCTGGCAAATGGGAGGTAGACCGGGGCTTGTAGATACATGGAGAGAGAAACAATCCTCTAAACTGTCCCCCGAGGCTCTGTGTTAAGTGTAAGTGAGAGCCAAAAAAGCAAGATGTGGGGAGGTTAGGAGAGAATTCTAAAGGTGTTGGGATGGGAGAAAGGTCATCTCAGATCAACAGGAAGAAAGAAAAAACATTCCTACTGGAGGTTCCCTGCTGACCTTTAAGGGGCAAGGGCAGTCACAGGCCAAAGGGGCGTTTTCTCACGATCATTGTTAGAATGGCTGCAAATCAACTTCCTTTCTTTCCTTTTTACAGACAGGTCTCACTATGTAGCCCTGGTTATCCTAAAACTCACCTTGCAGATCAAACCAGCCTTGAATTCATAGAGATCTGCCTGCCTCTGCCTCCAGAGTGTTGACATTAAAGGTGTGCATCATCACGTCCAGGCAAAAGACAGACTCGCTTTTCACTAGGTGTGTGTGTGTGTGTGTGTGTGTGTGTGTGTGTGTGTGTACTAAGAATACATGTACCTACCAAGTTCAGATGTGGATGTCCACTGTCTTATTCTACCATTGTTCATCTTATTTTGGGGGGCAGGATCCTCACTGAACCCATATCTCAACAGTTAGACTATTGGTCAGGAAGCTGTAGAGATTCTGTCTCTGTCTTCCCACCTCTGAGTCAAAAACAATGCTCAGCATTTTCATGTGTGTTCTAGGAACAGAACTCCAGGTGTCATGTTTGTGTGGCAAGCACGTTACCAACAGAGCCATCTCCCCAGCTCTTCACTAGGTTTGAGCTCTCCTGGCCACACATGCTTGTGGTGTGTATGTAGAAGTGAGCGCTCTTCTGTCCATCCCACAGGGAGGACCTAGCAAGGCAGGGACCACTCCTCTAGAGTAGAGAAAATAGGAGGTAGATGACTTGCCCAAGTCACATGGGTGTGGATGTTAAAGATGTCACAGACATCAGAGTTCTCGCCTGGAAGTCCAGGGAAGGAAGGCTGGCAAGGCCCTGCAAGTGTCACCACCCCTCTTCCGAGCACACACTGTGTTCTGGGCATACTCAGACATGTCACCTCCTGGCGTCTTCCCCATAGTGCCCATGGGAGATGTGAAAGTGACCACTTTTGTGGATGGGTAAACTGAGGCTTGGGGAGTTCACCCAGCATGCCTAAGGTTGTACAACTGGCAAGAAACAAGAGTGGATGACTGAACCCTAAAGTGGAATATTTGATCTGTGCTGTCTTCCCTTCAAGGGTTCACTCTTTGCCCCCAGGTGAGAGACCCTGTGCACCCTTTCCCAGACTCTGAGCAAGGTTGTTGAACGGAGCCCTGCCCAGACTCCATGCCTCCCCAGACGGCCACAGGGACCAGCTGTCCACAGATGAATCACGGCTGCATCTCGGCTGCCACAGAATGTTCTCCTCCTCCAAATATGGATCAGCCAGCTCGAAATGGAGCTCTGAGTTAATCACTAATGGACTCAAAAGTCAAAGCCATTTGAGAAACTCACACGTTCAGCCTGCCAACAGCCAGGCAGCCTGGGTGGGGCTCACTTCCACTCTTGGCTCCCAGGCGAGAGAAAGGCTCAGAGTCTACTTAGCTGAGGGCTACCTCTTCACGTGACCTTGGACCTGCCCCTCCCCTCACCCCTTCCCCACAGCCTCAGTTTCTCGTAAGAAACAAGTGTCGTGGTGACTCCCCTGCCCGCATCCCTCCACTCAGGCACCTGTGACTCTGAAGCCTGTACCCCTCTCTGACATCCTACCGTTGCTGCTTCTGAGACCTTTTAGTTTAGAGGGTCTCAAACGGGGCTCTGTTCAAACCTGTAGGGAATCTATAAATGGCTCTGTACCCTACTAGGTCTTGGGGTTCCTATTCGCACCCAGGGCAATGCACAGGTTCTACAAGTTTCCGGATGCCTCTCCTGGACCTGCAAGATCAAGATCAGAGATTTAACGTAAGTCCCTGTCTTGGCTCAAAGACTCAAACATGAAGATTTCTGTGTGTGACCCTGGGAGAATCACTGTCTTTCTCTGGGCCAGTTTCCAATCCTCTGCAGAAGGGAAACGATATGGTAACAACACTGTGTGTGCTCAGCCCTGAGCTGGGTGTGCACTGCTCACACAATGACATGTCATCTCCTTGTGATGACTTTGTGAGGTTGGCTGCTGAATCCTCTGACATTGTTTTCTAGTGTGGAAATGGAGGCCCAGTCACATAGCTAGAAAACAGCAGAGCTGAACCTAAACCCAGGCTCTTGGCTTCCAGGGAAAAAAACCTGTAATATTCCATGTTCTGGATCTTCAGTTGCTCCAGGGAGCCCCAGAGGCTAATAGGTAGAACAAGGGATGGAGATTAGAAAGTCTGGAGAGTCTCCAGGATGCTAAGAAGAAAGAGTGGCTTCTTAAGAGGCTCAGGGGAGCATTTGTCTAGCAATGCTAGGGCCAGTCACCAACTGGAAAGAAGGAAGGAAGGAAGGAAGGGAGGGAGGGAGGGAGGGAGGGAGGGAGGGGGGGGGAGGGGAGGGGAGGGGAGGACCAGCCTGAGCAGGGTCTAGGAACAAATGCTTCAACAGATCCAACCTTAACCAAGATTCCAGAGTGTCACAGATTCATCCAAGGGGCTCAGCCTGAGCCGGGCTGACCCAGCTCCAGTCACAGCATGTGGGTCTGGTGACTTGGCCTTCATGTGCTTATTCATGTGGCTGAGCAGGTGAGACATCTTACACGGACTCCCCGCCTCCCCGCCTGCTATCGATCTCTTCATGGTTTTTATCAGAGGACCACCACAATTCCACTGAACCATCTCTGAGGACACTTAAACAAAACTGTTCAAAGGTGACCAGGACTTGGTCTGATCCAGCTTGACCTTAGCAACTCATGATGACCCATTCTCTTACACATCGTGAGCCAAGAACTTTCTGAGCCCGCACCGTGCTCTAAGCAGTATCTCCTTTACCCACAATGCACCCCTAACTGGGTCACGTTCAAGTCCCTGGTTGTCTCTGAGGAGCTAGGCTGTTTTCAGTCTGTCTATGCCCTGCATCTCTGGTGGTATTATCCTGCATCTGTGTGTGAACACCCCTCACTTCAGAAACTGGTAGCATCTTGTATCTCTCAGTCTAGTTTACTAAAGGAAGACACTACAATAGGCTAAAAACATCAACAGTATAAAACCTATGACTTATATTCTGTACCCCCACACTTATCTACCCTGCTCTCCAGAGGCATTTTACAAACAGTTTATTGTTTCTCTTGTTGTTTTTCTTAATATTTATATAACGCTTCTAAGTACTGTGCCAACGCTCCCATTTGTCGGGACCCTTCATTATAGACATTATCTTGTGACATGCCCCTATTAAGAGGAGGATTTATTTCTCTATATAAGTCTCCTTTCCCGATGTCCCAATTTAAAACAATTTGCCTGAATCGATATTCTGTATTTACCGTATTACTATTACATTTTATTTATTATTCAAACATTTCTCACAGCTGATTTCCCTTGTGTAACATGATAGCATTTGCTTTCTTGCAACGCCTTTTGTTTTTCCCAGACTTAACCATCGCTCTGTTTTCGTTTTCTGAGACTGTAGCATACTTATCATTAGCTCACCCCCCAGACTCTCTATAGCGCTGTAAAGAACTGAGTGTCCTCCAGGCCTGTTTCCATTGTCCTGCTTGAGCTTGTCTCCGTCACCGTCCTTGGAACTGATCTCCATCCTCTACGGTAGAATCCTTTCTTCCAAGGGTCCTGTGTCTTTCTTTGAGGTTGGTTACTAATTTTAGCAAAGCAAATCCTCAAAAAGTTGTCTCAAATATTTTTTAATTGCATGTAAAAAATATTGTTATTCCACTTAGATTTTTGATTGATAGTTTATCCAGGAACTTGATTTTAGACTGGAATTTTTTTCCCTAAAAGTTTTGAAGGACTTGTGTCTTCCAATGTAAGCCCCACGCTGTTCTGATTCCATTCCTCCTGTGTACGAACTCTTCCTTTTCCTCCCTGTTATCTCGGCATCCTGAAATGTCGTGTTGGCAGGATGATACATGTAAGCTCTTTTGTTTGCTCTTGACATGTAAAGGTCCTTGGCCTTCAAGTCAGACTCACAGCAAGACTTTGAAGGTTAAGTGGAGATCCCCTTGCTCGTCGTTGCTCTTGGTGACCAGCAGTCAGCCTGGCTATAACTCTTATCTAGATGGTGGCCTCTTCGTCCACTGGAGCAGGGGCAGGATTGCCAAGTGGATCACAGGGCAAGGAATATACACTCTGATACCCTCAGTTTCCCTTTCTGTCCTCACCTGACTCTGCACCAGGGAATTCCAAGCTCCCTCGGTCTTTCTGGGGTTCGATTCTATCCCTGCAGACCCTGCAGGTCAGTTTCTCTCAGCTTTATGCTCAGCCAAGTCTGTCTCAGGCGCTATCTACTGGGTACTTCTCGCATTTCCGGTGGTCTTCCTCAGCTGTGCATCTCTTCTTGTGCTTGCAGGCCTGTTTTTCCTTTTAAAAACATGCCTTCATTCTACCTTAGTAGAGGGAACAGACATGGGTGATACTCTGTTTCCATACTAACTGGAAGTTCCATGCATTTGCTTTCCTGATTTAATCTTATAATCTTGAATATTTCTATAAGGTTCTCAGTGGAAGTCCCAGCCACTCAAGACAGCATCTCACTGGTGGGTAGATCAGCACCAGTGTTTCCTGGACCATAGTGATGCAAACAGAATGATCAAATCAAAGTGCCTTTTTCATCTTGAATCATAGCAGTTATGCACCTTGATCGTTTAAGGTCCTTGTCCGTGTCTTTAGCTGCTCCTCAGGCTGTGAGACCCTTGGGCCGGGGTGTCAGCTTTCCTGAAGGAGCAGGACCTCTCCAGTATCACCCGCCATCTTGGAGTTCCTGTCCCCTGCTCTTGTCCATTTTACTTCAAGGGGTGCAGTATGGAGACAGACGTAGAGTCTCCAGGGTCGTTGCATAAGGACATGGTATCAGTGACTTTTCCCCTTGCCCTGACAGAACACCCAACAGAAATAATTTATGAGGGTTTATTTGGTTCATGGTTGAAAGGAATACAACCCTTTGAGGTAGAGTAGAGAAAAGTATGATGGCTGGACGGGCAGCTGAGATGCTGGGTCTGAAGCTGTGGGGACTTACGGGCCAGCCTATTAAATCCTAGCGGATCAGGAAGCAATGCTGTCTAGAAGCAGAACCCTCAGGAACTACAGTCCTACATTCATCAGCGAGGCAGGCCCCACATCCTAAAGGTTCCATAACCTCCCGAAATAGCAGCAGCAGCGGGAGATGAAGTGTTCAAACACACGAGCCTGCTGGCACATTTACATTCAGGTTGTCATAACCTCCTTTGATGGGGATGGGAGCAGGGTGGAAAGGGGATGCGACCAGCTGCTCCCTGAAGTCCTGGGTGGTCAGTTCACATGAGAAGGGGCCCTTAAGGATGGCTCACTTCCAAGAACCTTATTCTCAGGAGGCTAGCATAGAGCAAAGGAAAATAGGGGGAAGCAAGTGGTCAAGGGAGGAAACAGGGGTGCTTTCCACAGTCTCTCTCCCCAAGTCCTCATCTCCACCCCACAGATTAAGTATTCATGATGGGATCTGGTATTGAATTACAGTTCATCAAAGCAAGGGAAGGACCCAGGGCCATTGAGGAAGGATGGATGGTTCCATCTGCCTCCTGTAACCCTGGCGAAGAGGACAACTTCAAAAAAAAAAAAAGGCAAAGACAGAGAACAAAAGGAATAGGATACAGGCACAGGAAGCAGCGATGTGCGCTGGTGAGATTCATGGATGTGCGTGCACAATTCTCGCTGGAGTCTGGACGATAAACCGACAGTGAGCTGAGGTAAGAGGAAGGGCCCACGGAATAGAAGGGAGTCATTTGCTTCTCACTATTTGAATTTTCTAGCCATATTGAAGTGTTGTTTCATTTCATCTTGTTTTATTTTTTATGCCTACATCACTTCTTAGAAACTATCAGCAGGGATTAGGTGAGCGGTGGGCTACAGCTTGTTTGGAGTTCTGCCATTTTTTTCTCTACATAAAAAAGTTGAGTTCAGAGGGTGGCAGTCACCAGTCCTTGGCTTACATGTATCAAATCATAGCTTTGATTCCCAGTATAGAAAAAAAAAGCAAATAAATAGTAATTTTTAAAAGGAAAAGTAACACAGCCTCAAGATTGTCCCTGGTCTTTGTAGTTCTTTGTCACTTAGATACCCTGTTGTGCCTGGAGAGTCTGATGTTTGTGGCCTTCAGGCTGGGTGTGGGGCTTAAGGAGGGTAAGTACAAGAAGAGCTGGTGAGGCCAAGAGGTGTGTGTGTGTCCGGGATAGTGTCTAAAAACTCTCCTCTTTCCCATCTTCACTGATTTTCCCCAAGAGTTTTCTGGAAAGCTCATTTATACACCATACAAGTTTGCATACCATACAGGTTTGCACATCACATGAGTATGTACACCACACGGGTTTGCACGCCACAGGGGTTTGTACACCACAAAGGTTTGCACACCCCAGGTTTGTTTACCACACTGGTTTGCACACCACACAGGTTTGCATGTCACATGAGTTTGCACATCACATGGGTTTGCACACCATACAGCTTTGCACACACACACGGGTTTGCATACCACATGGGTTTGCACACCCCATGGGTTTGCACACCACACAGATTTGCACACCCCATGGGTTTGCACACCACACAGATTTGCACACCATACAGGTTTGCACACCACGTGGGTTTGCACACCACACAGGTTTGCACGCCACATGGGTTTGCACACCACACAGGTTTGCACGCCACATGGGTTTGCACACCACACAGGTTTGCACGCCACATGGGTTTGCACACCACACAGGTTTGCACGCCACATGGGTTTGCACACCACACGGGTTTGCACGCCACATGGGTTTGCACATCACACGGGTTTGCACACCACAGGTTTGTTTACCACATGGGTTTACATGCCACATGGGTTTGCACACCTCACGGGTTTGCTGAGCACCTGGCTCTAACCAAACACATCTATCCTGGCCATCCCACCCATGCCCTATGAAGCCATTTGTCACATCTCCATTCCGGATCATGAGGTCTTTGGCCAAGAGCTTTTCCACAGGGAAGGGTCCTGCTTGAGAACTTATTGTTTCCTGCAGGCCCTGGAAAGAGACATGGGGGGGCAGACAAGAGGAAGAGGGGACAGGTAGCAGACTGAGTGTCCATGATCCTTCCAAGTTCACTGAACCAGTGAATAGCCCAAATAAGCTCATCCTATACTTTCTAAGCCTTTGTTCGTTTCCCTCATTGTCCCAAGGTATCCCAGCTGCTAAGAACCTCCTTGATGTTGGTAACAGCATTGCAGCCCAGGTCTGGTGTGTCCTACTCCAGTGGAATCTCACAACTTCCTGTCCATCCCAGATGCTGCCTCAGGGCTCTGCGGTTCTGAGTAGGGGTTCACACCCCAAGGCCAGAGCGAAGCCATAGCAAGAAAAAAACCCGGCTTAAGAGAAGGGAAAGGAGGACCCGGAGCCTCTACTCACCACAGAATCTCATTTCTCGTCAGGAAGGTCAGAGCCTGCAACAAATCAGAGATGTGACCTGCCACTCAGTCCAGTCCCACCATGGGCCCTGGAAGAGCCTGGAGCCTCAGGAGAGGGAGGCATCCTCTCTCTTTGTACTATAAGAAGGGAAGGCACTGCAGGCCACAGGAACAGGCTTGTGGTGGTAGCCAAGGGCAAAGTGCTACCTTACTCTCCTTCCATGTAGTAACAAAAAGGTAGAGCAGCCCAGACTGGGAGATTCAGTGAGAACCAAACCACCCCCTGGGCTCCAGGACAGGGGCAGGGGAGAAGAGGGTGAGAGTGCCAGTCTGAACCCCATGGACACAAGCTCAGCAGAGGCAAGAGACGTCACAGCCAGCCTGGTACGCTCCAGAGCTTCAGGCAAGAGTTCTCTTCTTGGTCCCGCCTGCCCTGGGAAGCCCCCAGTTCTGCCCCAAATCTGTGACCTAACTACCCACCTGGTACTCGTCCAGGTCCTCCCACTGCATCTGGTACCTCAGACACTGCTGCCCCATGCCAACCCAGCCTCCTCCTCGCCAGCAGTAGAACTTCTACCCCAAGGGCTCAGCAGCTGGTGCAGTCCATTGATTCAGTTGCCATGGTGACCAGCATTCCACCTTCTGCCCCTGAGTTGGCAAACAGGTTCTTTTGGTGCCCTGGCTAAGAAACATCACCTCCAAAACAACAAACGGGAAGGCAGGCCAAAAGTAGTCTTAAGATTGTTGACTCAGGGCGTCACGATGCCTGGGACGGAATCCCAGACCTGCCACGTGCTCACTGTGTGACCTGGGGCGAGCTACGCAACCTCTGTCCTTCTTTGTTCCCTTCCCTCTTCAAGGGGATCATGATCACAGGACTGTCGTAGATGTCACCCAGTGGATGCAGGCGGTGATGACTGACTCGTAGACAGTGCTCACTGAGGGTTCTAACCAGATCTTGAGTGCCGTGCAGGATGTGGGGTACTGAGATGGAAAAAACATTGACTTTGACTTCCGATACAGAAGAGTACTCGACACCATCAGACGGTTCCCATGGGAACAGAAGGAGCATTCAAATCTGGACAACACGAAAGGACCCTACACAAAGATGAAGTCAAAGGCTTCTACCAAGGTGGGGCAGAAGTCAGGGTTCCCACCCCAGAACTGCTCTGGTTCTGGGCAAGCAAATGGACTGAGCCCTCCAGAATGACTCTCTGATATTTCTGGGGGACAGAAAGTTGGGTAGAACGGGGAGACTGTGGATCACAGGGGAAACGGAGAAGATAAGCAGCACTGCCATTGGCACTAAAATTCTGGGGTCCCCCTGAAATCCTCCAGGGTATTCTGAATACCCACCCCCATAGTACATACGAGAATCCCTTCAGCCCAGAACACATTTGGTCACAGGCTGTCCAGGGAGGAGCATGGGTCTCTGAGGTGGAGAATTCTCTAGAAATGGAACTGCACACTGTTGTTTATCTTGGCCTCACAGAAGAGGGGGACAGACAGAAGCCTAAGCTTGGTCCCTTCAGTAACTGAACAGGCACCAGCACCAGGCATGTCACTGGGTTCTGGAGAGGAACAACTTTTAGAGTTAGAAACAACTTCGAAGAAATACCTGCTCTCCATACAAACACCCTCTGCACACGCCGTGCGTATACATGCATCAGGTATACGCATGTCCCTGGAGTTGGAAGCCGATGTCCCCAGAGGTAACATTACATTACAGAGGCATGAATATACAGAAAGAAGACAGGCACAGCCAACCCTTTGATATTATAACATCTATGAAGTTCAGGCTTGAAAACAATCAAGTTATAAGAGAGAGGGGGAGAGAAGAAGATGGAGAAAGAGAGATAAAGAGGGGGGGAGAGATGGAGAGAGAGAGAGAGAGAGAGAGAGAGAGAGAGAGAGAGAGCATCCCTAATGTTTTAAGTAAATTCTTAATTTTCTGGTCCTTTGAATGCATGTAACCTTTGAGCTGTAGGCCAGACTTGCCTGATTATAGATAGCGACACTTAATAGCTATTTAGCTATTACATGCAGTGATTTAGAACCTGGACTTTGAAATATTAAAGGCTGGGTTTTCTCACTTCAAGCAAATGATAAAACTACTGTAAGCCTCAGTTTCCATCTCTAAAAGGGGACTTACAAGTTCCTACTTTCTAAAATTCAAGGCTAAAAAAAGAATGACAAAGGTGTAACTTCTTTTGTTGATGCTTTTTAATCAAAATGACTGGTACAAACTGAATATTTGAGAGAAGGAAAACAATATAGCTTTAAAAGTTGAGCCTGGCCGGGCGGTGGTGGCTCACGCCTTTAATCCCAGCACTCGGGAGGCAGAGGCAGGCGGATCTCTGTGAGTCTGAGACCAGCCTGGTCTACAAGAGCTAGTTCCAGGACAGGCTCCAAAACCACAGAGAAACCCTGTCTCAAAAAACCAAAAATAATAATAATAATAATAAAAATAAAAAAAATAAAAGTTGAGCCTGGAAGGAAGTGTAGAAGGTCAGCAAGCAGGCAGTCACTAAATCCCATCCAAACTTGACCTCTTCTAACTACGCAGTGCGGCTGACAAAAGCTGGCTTGGGTCACGGGACTCTTGCTCCCTCGCTTTAGGGACTACAGAGTTGGCGAGGTTAAGGAATGCTCTGTTGCAGGTCCGGGACACCCAGGGACACCTGGGGATCTTTGAGGTGCCACCCTCTCCATCCCGTCTTTTTTCCGTCTTTTTTCCGACATCCTGATTACACAGGTGCAGCAACTTGGCACCAGTCTATTGTGTCTTTTTACTCTGCAGACCCTGCTGAAAGAGAGCAACCAAAGCAGCCGCTAGAGAGCGAGGCCAGGAGGCTGGTGAAGACATCAGGCCCTCCACACCCAGCCCAGACACACTCCAGGAATGTGAACCCACAGCCCTCAAGAAGCTGCCATGCGATAAGAGACAGATAACAAGGAACAGGCCGAAGGCCAATGCTGGAGCTGTTGGACACCCTAGAGCCTCCCAATGAGAGCCATTGGGACAGAAGTCTGAGTGACAGAACTGAGCCAGGTTGAGAAGATGGGGACAATGTTCCAGGCCCGGGAGGCCGTGGAATCCAGCCAGAACTGCGCGGCACTGTACGGATTTTCACATTTGTTTTTATAGGGTACCTTCCCTTCTGAAAATGATGCGGGTTTGTCATTTACAGCTGGTATATAAAGGCGCCTTTGTAAACATAGCTCTTTAATGAAAAGAAATAGCAGCCTTTTAAAGAAGAATATTAAGTGAATAATTTTACAGGTGGTAGAGGAATGCACCAGCAATTACAAGGTGCTGGGTGTGCTCACGTGCTCCCTGCCTCCCTCCCTTTCTCCCCCCTCCCTCCCTTCCTTTCTCAGTCCCCCTCTTCCTCCCTCCTCCTCCCTCCCTCCCCCCCCCCACGCACACGCGCCCGCACACATAACCAAGGTATGCCAGCCCTGTTACCCTCCCATCTCCTTCAGCTTTTGCCCTCCCCACCCCATCTGTCCCTAACCCACTTCCCCCCACCCCCATCTCCGGGACTTTATCCTAGACAGGCCTTTTATTGGTTCTCTCCAATAACAATAGTAGCAATAAGAATGTCACCTTACATTTGCATATCCCTTTACAATTCCAAAATGCTTTTCTATGTACCATCTCATTTGCCCAAGGCACAAAAGACTGTGCATTTAAAAATGAAAGAAAGAAAGAAAAAGAAAAATTTCCCACCTGAGGCTCTCTGTGTTAGCCGACCTGTGTCCCTCCCCCAGTCCACGGTACTGCTGGACTCCTGGGTGCTGCAGTGACTTCAGAAGAGCTGTAATTGAGCAGGGAAGAGTTTTCTGGAAGAACAGCTCCATATCCTGCCTTTCTAGGGGCTCCCCGAGGTAAGTTTCTGCCACCTTGCCTGGAAATGTGCAGATTCTTAGAATTCCAGCCCCTTACCGAACTTCGTTTATTTTTACTTGACTTGTCAAATCCGCCAGTTATTGAAAGATGATTGGTATCCAGGCTATTTAAAAGAGTCTCACAACTTAACAATACAAAGAAATAAGCCAACTTAAAAAAAAAAAAGAGGGAGGGGGGCTCGGGCTGAGAGAGCAACTGGTTACTTACTGCTCTTGCAAAGGAATTGAGTTCTGTTCCCAGCGCCCACATTAGGGGGCTCATAACTGCCTGTAACCCCAGCTTTCAGGGGGATTGGATCACTTCTTCTGGATTCCATGGGCACCTGCATTCATGTACACACACACACATACACACACACTTTAAAATAAAGTAAGCCTTAAAATTAAATTAAATTTAAAATGGGCCAAGGATATGAATAGGTATTTCTACGAGAAGATAAGTGAATGTCTTGGCAGGCCATGAAAAGTACCCCCACATCATCAGCCATCAGGGTAGTCTTGCGAATCAAAACGACACCGAGACACCTCTTCACACCCATCAGGATGGCTGCTTTAAACAGAAAAATAACCGTGTCTCAGCAGATTTATCCACAATAGCCGGAAGGGAAGGCAAGCCCAAAGCCCATTAACCATGTGTACCTATAGAGTAGAATATTACTTGGCACTATGAAGGCTGAGCTTTGGTTTCACAAAACAGCATGCATTAACAATGATCACAAAAGGCTCCCCCTGCTTTAAAATATCTGGGGTGGACAAAACCGTACAGGAGGAAAGTAGACTGGTTGTCTAGAGAGGCTAAGGGGCAGGGAGACCCGGAGTGACTGGCTGCAAATGAGGACCAAGTCTCTTTATGGGTAGATGAATAGGTTCTAAAATTAAATGGTGGTACAGCTGAGAATAGCCTAAAAACCGTGAAGTTACATACTTTACGGAAGCGAATTGTATGGTGCGTCAATTATACCTTAAAGCTGTTATTTTAAAAATGACAAGGTGTGTTTAAGTGCTAACTCAATGCCTGGAACGTAAGTAAGCCACCGTAAATATTATTAAAGAATGTGTAAATGAGAGAATTCAGATCTTTTTCCTCCGCCCAGTCATCTAACCCAAGAGGTTCCACCCACAGCCACCCTTCCCTTCTAGTGATTCGGATTAGTGATCCTCCCTGGCAAGCAGCAGGCCTGTGGGAATGCATCCAGGAGAGAGGCGGGTCTTGGGGACAAACGTACTCAAGGATGGAGACCAGGATGCTTGGAAGCATTCCTAGAGCCCTCAGAATCTGGAGTTGGAGCCCCTGCTTCCCCACAGCGGAGACATAAGAACTCAGGCTCTGTCATCTGCTTAAGCCCTGGTCCAGCACAGTGCAGAGCAAAGGTGCTCGGTCCACCTGCTGGTGCCCAAGGCAGGGCTCTGGCTTCTGCAGTCTGATGGCACCGTGCAGGGTTCTAGAAGTTTCCTGGTGCCCCGGCCAGAGAACTCAGCAGCCTAGCACCTGATACAGTGTTCACCACAGTGCTTTCCCAGGGCCGAAAGGAACCTGAGGCCTGGGCACAATGCACATACTACCCAGAAGACTAAGCGTGGGCAATGTGAACTGATAATACCCTGGAATGTAATCTTTAATGTTT